AGGCCGAAGAATTGTGGAGAAGACACTAGTGGTGGTTCGAAACAGGTTCGTGTGGAAAAAGAAACTTGAGCGACAAAAGGTTAGTATTCAAACTCATTGAGTTTTAATGCTTTTGAACATGCTAGCTAATTTACTATAATTGATTTACTTAGAGTGCCTAAGATCAAAATTTCTTCCGCATGTGTTATATTAACACCATCACTTTGATCCTTGCCGAAAGGTTGACCAGTTGCTCTATATCCAACTTTAGGATGTAAAGGCAGTTTGTCGTGCGTCAAACTTGCGTGAGCAGCTGTCATCTATCATCGCGGATCTTAAGTAGCCCGCGCTCGATGAAAATGTGATAACTGACCTCATCAAGTTGATCTAGGCTCACAAGGTTAGCCTTGAGCCTCGAGATGAAGTAGACGTCGGTCAGCTTGCGGTGCTCGCCTCCCTTGCCGACGAATAGGATGGTGCTGCGCCCTTCGATCTCGACAACGGAGTTGCCACCAAACTTCACCGTCCCACAAATCCTCGAGTCGAGCTCGGAGAACGCAGACCTTGGCCCGATCATATGATTTTTTACCCTGTGTCGAGGACCATCGTCGTTGCTCGTGCTGCTCGCACCTAATATAAATTCAAATATTGACCCTTTGCATGTACCCGAAGGACCAATTACAAGAAGCAAAGTTAAGAAGATTCAAGAGGCCCATACATTGCATCTTCAAAGGCTAGCTAGTGTACAAGTTGAAACAAAGACTTTTGAGCCCAAAAATATTTATAGCATTAGCATATCAAATCAAGAAAATAATGGATTGGCTGACATTGGAAAGTGATTAGAAGACTTTTCCTTTGGTAATTGAACTACCAATTAAAACAATTTATGTGTGCCTTATTTTCTTCAATTTGTATTTACTAGTTTTTATTGGTAGTTTTTGTTTGTAGTGGGTAGATGAACTTCATTATTTCTACTTTAGGTTTGATGTTTAAATCGATTCATTGAATTAGTTTTGATCAAGCTAATTCTGGAGTGACGAGTGACCATCATAGATTCCAAGTTCGGTCTAAGAGTCATTCATCTTCGAACCAGCTCTTGGTTGGAATCAATTCGTTAAGTTAGCTTTCTTTGTGTACGTTTGCAAGGATTCTAGAAGGACCTTTACCTTTGCAAAATCCAGCATTATTGACACTTATCATTTGGTATCAAAACATTTGATCGACATTCTTTGGCCGCTCTAGAGGTGAAATATGTTTACTATTATTTTTTTTTCTATCAATTTTTTAGTCTCTCACAGGTTATAATCAAGCTTAAAGCAAGATTGCACAAAAAAAAAAAAAAAAAAAAAAAAAA